TTCCTGTAACAAGAGAAAGGTATTGTATACTTGCAATCGTCTGTGGCTTTTTAGACCACATCACAGGAATTTACAGACACAGTTCTCGGGTATCAGAGTGAAAAACCTGTTGATCTCAATAAAAGTAAGTTAAATTGCCTTACAAACCACTTGCCACACTCTGTTTGGGTATTTGGTGTCAAATTAGACTTTTAAAAAAAACAACTTCATTTTTCCTGCTCTTATGCCAAATTTGACTGTCGTTTTTTATTGGAACATCAAAAGCAGGCTTTTAATTCTCACAGTTTTGATGCTTAATGAAAAGTGAAAGTTAAACACAGCATGGCAGCATTAAAAATGCATGGTAAATCCATAGCACCCTGACATCTTAGCCCTGCAGAGGATGTGAAGAAAGACATTGTAAACAAAAGATAATACTACTAAATACAAAGCAAATTAATTAGATGGCCTGAAAGACTCTTAAACAAAGTAAAAATGTAGGGATAACTTAATTTAAATTAACATAGTGAAAGTGACTAAGATTTTTAGTCACTTTAGGGGTTAGACTGCTCTGAGGCATCTCTACATATGCACACGAACTGTAATTCAGTAGCTTTTCAACTTGCAAAATAAGCACAGACAAATGAAACTGGTGCGTCTCCCTATTTACAGAATTGCCTAACTGCTAGGTATATAAAATTAATGTGTTTAATGCAGACTTCGATGCTGTCCTGATAAGAATATATTTTTGGGGGAATTAGAGATATGAAGGTTCTCACAAGAAACTTAGGCAAAAGTGAGATGGTTCTGGAGTTAATTACTGCATCAGTTCCACTAACAGACACAGAAAGTTACTGAAATTGAGCTTATGATATTTTCACAGCTTGCCCCAAGAGGTCTTTTTAAGGAGACCTACTGCTTATTTGTTATGTAAGACTTAGTGCAATAAGCTTATGGAATGCAAGCTGTCATCTTGCATCCCGTGGAAACTGAGAAATAGGAATGTTATAGCATTAAGTGTCTCCTGAATTTTTGTTGAAAGTCGTCAGCAAGAGTTGCACAAATCAACAGGAAATTTGCCTTAAAAAGGATGGACAATCATCTCACTTACTTTTACTCTTGTACATCCATATGCATAAACAAATGTATATCTTATTAAATATTATTTTTTCCTTACACTTAAAATGATTTTTTGGTATAATTAATATGTTTCTATTTAATATCCTCTTCAGATGAAATTGTATGCTGCCTTTTAGGTCTGACAGTCTTTCCCAGGAAAGTGGCTAGGTTTAGGAGTACTATCAAAACTTTGAAACAAATGGTCCTCCATGAAAAGAGGAGGACCATATCTTTATAAAGTTAATCTTTATACCATCAGCCTCATCATCCCAGATCAGCTGC